TTCTGACAGACAGGAAGCAGCAGGTGAGGCTTGAGAAAACCACATCCGGCACCCGGAAAATCAGCACCGGCCACTCCCAGGGATGTGTGCTCTCCCCTCTGTTGTTTTCACATTACACCAACGACTGAATCTCGAAGGACCCCTCAGTCAGCCTACAGACAGGAGGTAGAACAGCTGGCCCTGTGGTGTAGCTGCAACAACCTGGAGTTGAACACCTTACCCCCCCCTCACCATACTTGGCAGCACTGTATCAGCAGTAAAGTCCTACAAGTTCCTGGGCTCCACTATCTCCCAGGACCTGAACTGGGCGTCCAACATCAGGACCATCATCAAGAAGGCACAGCAGAGGATGTACTTCCTGCACCAGCTTGATTGCACATTACTTCTTTACTTCTGTTCTCAGCCTTATATTGTTTACTTGCCCACTGCTGCCTTACATAAGGACATGTACATATGCATTGAGAGCCGCTGTACCTCATGTGTCCAACACACCTGGCCAGTAAACCTGATTCTGACGTCCATAAACATCTTTAACTTTATTTATAGAAATATCCTGTTAATGTTATCATCATACATTAACAAAAGTGTCAAAGAACCACATGGTTCTACAATGTCAAATTAAATAAGTGCATTTAAAAAACAAAGGAACAATTGATTGGCAGTTGGCTTATCGCACTGTCAGATACAATGGCAAAAAGCAAATGTTATGTCGAAGCAATAAAGCACCTCTGGAAATGTCAGAGTGCTGCTGGTAACCTTAGTCCTGCCAGTTTTTGAAATGGCTCCATTTGATTTGTCTTGCATAGTATGTTTAACACGTTTGATGATTTCCAGATCATTACACTTTGCAACTGAAATTATTAACATAAGTCAAAAGCAATTAACATTAAACATTAAGAATGGAAGACAGGAACAATAGGAAGAAGTGCTATTTTTCCACTGCACCTAAAGTAAGAAACATGACTTTCTTCCCAGTCAAGATTCAGAAAAACCACAGCCACAGCCTCACACAGAGCCATGCTAGAACTCAGTGTCACTCAGATCGTAGAACCTCAAAGTACTTTCACATTCAGCTCCAGACGGTTTGGATGCTGGCCTTTTTTTCAGCAGGTCCCAAACTCTTTGATCCACTTTTCATACTTCTCCAGATCAGCTGCCGACACTGATTTGGACACTTTCTTTAGAGAGGTCTCAAAGTCCTCCATAGTAGTGGGCATGTGCATCTCATCCCGAGAAATGTTGCGGATCTCTTCTGGTGTGAGGCCCTCAATTCTCCGCCTCATGGCCATCAAAGAGGCATCCCTGCAACATCACACAACAGCTCCATTAAAGTACTTCAGCAGAGATTTCACACACATTTCTCAGATTCCACCAGTTATCCTTTGAGCCTTTGCTTTCATTGTGACCAACTGAAAGATTCAATAAATGGCCCCATTTGTTGCCCAAATATTTTCACTTTAAATTTGCATACAATAGAACAAATCTGCATCCATCTTCAATTTTTTCCAAAAAGCAATCCTATGGCAAAATGTAAGGAAATTACAGTCAGTGATAGTGGACTGCAGGCATAGTGCCTTGTTGCATGTAGCTTCGGTGTGACATGGATCATACCTGTTGTTTTGTCTCTGTGCTGTCTGCAAAATGAGATACTGTGAAAATAATCAGCTTTATGTATGAACAATGACCTGACCTGCACACGTTGGTGATGTCGGCTCCTGAGTAACCCTCCATCTGTGCTGCGATTTTGTCCAAGTCCACATCATTGGCCAGCTCCAGCTCCTTCAAACTGATCTTGAGCAGCTCCACTCTCCCCTTGGCTGCAAAAATAAAGGCAACAGTGAGTGGGGCAGCCAGAAAGCTCATTGTTAACAGTCTCTTTCTGAACCACTGTTCAAAACAATGGATTCTAGATTGTGAATAATAATATGGGTCAGAACAGAGTCTGCATTAAAGCAACAATACGCAACTTTTTTCCATTACAATAACAGTTTCAGAATGATTTTGATGGTAGAATGACTTCTAATAAGGTGAATGGTGGGTCTGGTATTGCCACTGTGTGTCCAGATCATCTGTTACTGCACGATGTATTTTTGGATCGCCATCTTGAAGACCTCTCATGAAAACTGCATAACAACAGAACCTACCGACAGCTCAGCATTTTTATGGAGGTTCCCACATACACAGACAAATCCCTGGGCTTTTACTGAGTTTGGATATTTTTTTTCAGGTGAGAAGGTAACCACTTAGATTGCGACTATGTGCTCAGTCTATCCAATGCCAATTTGGATAGACAGCAAAGAGCAAATTAGCATTGCATATAGCAAGTAAGGCCAATTTGGAAATTTGCTCTAATGTTTTCGGAGCTGCCAGGACCTGCTAATAAACCAAGCTAAATTTCCTTAGCACAGCTACATCTTGTTCAGAGCAGAGCTGTCAGCAAAGACGCTGGTGTTCCAGTTGCACATTGAGAGTACGGTTTCCTCCCATCCTCAGGAGTTTGGATTTAAAGTTCAGACTTACTAACCTACTACAGTCGCCTACTGAAACTGAACAAGCTGTGTAACAGGGCATGGACTAAAGCACACACAGCAGTACGTACTATAGTCAGACTACATCTGTTCTATAGACTAGCTATGATATGTCCAGCCAAAGCATGTAAAAACATGCTCAACGCAACACACCCCAGAACTACAGCACTGCCAGGGTCCAGCCACAGCCAAGAAGAGAAAAAGAGAGCAAGAGACCAGACAAGAGTAAATATTAGACTGGCTTTTACTGACTGATAACAGATAAAAATACCCCTGTCAGGGTGACTAACTGTTCTACAGTCCTGATGTTAGCTGTAGAAGTCTGCCAACATGAAAACACCACCACCACAGCACAGTGAACAGCTCTGTTAATCTTATTTATGAAATACTTCAACACAGGCTGTTGATGCCATCCCGTCTCACAGAGGTTTGTAGTTTTTTCCAGATGTAAAAACTCATCTACTTCAATCCCTCAGAAGGTTTGGTCAGTCTTTGTCTCTGTCACTATGTTGTGTAGCCAGCGTTTCTTTGCATTACACACATCCACATTCAAGCACTTAGCAAGCAATATGAAAATGCAAGCAGTATTATTTTCAGTGTTCATCTTCTATATCACAATAAATAAAACTATGCAGAGTAATACTTGTATTAAATCCTGTAATATTATCTTACCATTCTTTGGCTTCTGATGGTTTCTTTCAGTTTAGTAACAGCCTCAACTGGTGAAGAAATGCACATGTACTGCTGTGCATGAGGAGGTTTCCCCTATTTGGGTACAGCTCAATTACACCAAGCAACAATAGGGGGGGAGGGGGGACCAACTATCAAGTTGCATTTTGCTGCTTTAACTTTCATTTGAGTACTTCCAACTAATCACATTTCACAGTATGCATGGTGAATACACTGGCATGCAGTAGAAATACAACTGTACCTGAAGGCAGAGGGATGTAGATTCTTTTTTCCAGCCGCCTCCTCATAGCTTCATCAATGTCCCATGGGAAGTTGGTGGCTGCCAGGACCATAACCATCTTTGACGGGTCACTGCTTTCTGGTGCTCCATCGACACCTACACAACAGAAACAATGTCAAAAGCAAATGTTTCTAACAGGTTTCTAAAGTAAAAATGTTTCATAATACTGATTTGTTTTTCCACTGATAAAATGCTTCAATAGAAAAAAAAACATTTCTAAGACCAAATGCAAAATAGTTAAAAAAAGAACTGATTGTGTTTGTCAATGTATAAGAATGTATCATTGGTAACATACCATCCATCTGCATCAGCAGCTCTGCCTTGACTCTTCGGCTGGCCTCATGCTCCTCTGAAGTCCCTCTGCGGCTGCACATGGAGTCGATCTCATCAATGAAGATTGTAGTGGGAGCATAAAAACGAGCCTGCACGAGGACAACCACAACGACTGAGTCCAGGAGAAACCTCAGCAATTTGTATATCTGTTAGTTCTATTAAAGGTACACAACCAGGCACACTGCTGAATAGAACATACTGTAAATAACATTGGATGTAACTAAATGTGCCACTAGGTAGGATTTTTTAATTAATTTTTAAGGAACAGTTAAAACAAAATGTGTGAAAAATTCTTACTTTAGATTGGGACTGCACAATTAACTGTATAATAATAATAATCATGAACAAGAAATTCACAGAATTAAGTATATTAAGTGATTTTTGACCACTAGAGGGTACAAAGCAGTTGGATTCACAGAAAAACAGACTTGAACTCAACATGTGTAGCTACAGCATTTGGCAACATGGGCTTCAAAATGGCCACCTAACAACACGAAGTCCAATGACATACTCTCCTTATTGCTATGGCTTTATGCATCAACTCAAGACAAAAATCTGAGTAATCACTTTCTAGATTATTTGCTTTCTTCACCAACCATATGTTTACTTCATGCAGCTCTACCAGCTTAGCCTTAGAGCTGATTATGGCAAAAATCATAATTATAATTATTTTGGTCAGTACTGAGATGTAAATTATTTAACAGGATTATGATTTATTGAACTTTAAAAAAAAAACTCTCTTTTAAACAGTGGGTGCATTAAATTATGCACAGGTGGACTCTGATGAAGTTGTAGAAGCATCCAAGGATTATTGATAGGAGGAGGATGCTGCAAACAAGGGTCTGAACTAGAGATCGATTGAAGGAGATTGGAAATGGGAGTTTTCAGATTTTGTACCAATTAGCTTGAGAGTCAGGACAGTTCACACTGCACACGCGCTGGCACAGACCAAAGTGTAGCATGTGCAGTGTGTAGCATCTCACACCTCAAGCAAGGCTCGCACTCATGTTTGTAATTACTGGCTACACATGAAATGCATGTAGAGTATATTCAACCTGTGGTAAAACACAGCAAATGCAAACTACACACACACTGTGTACTCAGTACGACTGATGTAACAGACATTCTTCCATTTCTATTACCCGTTGTACCTGTTTATATTTGGAAAAGTACAAATATTGCCCTTCATTTTAGTTGGAAGTTTGTTTAAAGAAAGAAGAAAAAGATGGAAATGTAAAACTTAAATAGTAAAAATTAAACGTATTAATCTTTTCATTAATGAAAGGTCACGAAAATGTCTGTGTATGATATCAATTTTTAGAAAGGGTTAGAAAGAAAACTGAAATTGGCCAAAATCAGAGTCAGCAGGTCAGACTGGCGATGGGATATTTCAGCCTTTTATTTTTAATACATTTATAAAACACTCCAAAAGCCTGTTCTAACTTTATCATTGTAAAGTATTGTGTATAGGCAAAATATAGGAAAATCCTGGGGGACAATCTTTTTCAGTCTGCAAGAGAACTACGGCTTGGGAGAAGATTTATTTTCCAGCAAGACCATGACCCGAAGCATACAGCGAAAGCTACACAGAAATGGTTTAAAGACAACAAGGTGAGTGTTCTGGAGCGGCCGAGTCAAAGCCCAGACTTCAGTTCAATAGAGAATTTATGGCTGGACTTGAAAAGGGATGTTCACGCCTGATCACCATGCAACCTGGCAGAGCTTGAGCAGCTTTGCAAAGAAGAATGGAGTAAAATTGCAATGTCCAGATGTGCAAGCCTCACTGAGACCCATCCACACAGACTCAGTGCTGTGATAGCAGCCAAAGGTGCATCTACTAAATACTGACTTGAAGGAGGTGAATATTTATGCAATCACTTATTTCACATTACATATTTTCATTTAATTGACAATACTTTGTAGAAACCCGTTTTCACGTTGACATTAAAGAGGTTTTTTGTAAAAAAATTTGTCAAAACAGCCAAATTATATTGACACGATTGATTTATAAAATCAATGAAAGGGTAAAACATCCAAGGGGGGGTGAATACTTTTTATAGGCACTGTATAGGTTGCCTTATTAAACATTTCAAATTAAAGAAAAAATAATGTATGGAAAACAGGCCTCCCTGATGTGTTTGTATAAAATCAGCAGCACAACATTGCTTTAGATATACCACAAAGCACAACATTTGGGAACTCCATCCGTCTGTGCAGATGAAACTATATGTCCCATTTATTATTTGGGTTCCAAATGATAAAAAGTCAGGGTAAAAAGGTCGATCATATAATATGTTGCCAAAATAATTTTCCATATTGTCTGTTCATTCACTACCCTCTGACTTACAAAAGGACCTGAACGGACCACGATCTGGCCCCAGAAACACACACACACACACAAATGTTCCTGGTTTTCATAAATGAATGTGTCTGTGTGTGCGTAAGTGACACAGGATCATTCTGGCTGTGCTGCCACGCACCTACAATAAACTTGACAACCATTCTGATAGCCGTTTAGAGCACTGCGACAGCCTTTCTCACTAATGTCAGAGGTTTTACAAACCAGTCGATTAATGGGGATAACAATCAATAGGTTGATCCGTAATGAAAATAATTGATAGTTGCACTTGGATACAAAATAGTCCACCAGAGCTCCACCTCAAACAACTACAACAGTCAAATTCTGCTTTTAAATCAGTGCATAAACGACAGGTTATTAATGTAATGATATAAGAGTAGTATAGTATAACAGTACCCTATACTATTATACAATAGTATAACAGTATAGGATGCATACTGTTACAAGAAAAAGTAATGACACTGTTAGCAGTTTCCTGGATTTCTGCATAAATTGGTCATAACATGTGATCTGATCTTCACCAAAGTCATAAATAAACAAACACAATACTTCTAAGCTGATAAAACACAAACTGTCCTGATCTTTCATGTCTTTATTAAACATACAAGGTGACGGTGGAAAAAACACCAGGCTTCTGATGTCAACTGACGCCTCGATGCGCCTTAACCACCAGCCTACCAGATGAAATGAAGATATAATAAAGTTAATTTTGGTTTCAATATTATTTGTCAAAAAGAAGGCAACATTCAATTACTTTAATCAGTTACTTAAATCGAACATTTTCTAATGTCATGTCTTTTGCAATAAAGTAGGTTATTGCATTTGTGATATCACCATCTCTCTGTTTTTTGTCATAAGGCATAGTGCTGGAGAAACTGTTGTTGTTGTGTTGTCATAAGGCATAGTGCTGGAGAAACTGGACACCGTGGTCTGTTGTTGTTGTTGTGTAGGTATCACTGGTTGTTTTAGGGGAACCACCAGCACTTGCTTGGGTCTGGGACTTAAAGTCTTGATTGTGCATGCTCCAGAGGATGGCACTGTTTCAGATGGTAAAAAAGGTCAGTGGTCTTACATGTCTTTGTGGGAACATGCTTGCAACACAATGTGCAGTGCAAGCTACTCTGCTTCTTATCGGACATTAAATAGCCAAAATATCTCCAGACTACCGAACTCTTTGGACCCTCCTTTTCAACAGTGTGCTCGTTTTTTGAGCCTTGGGTTGTGTCTGTTGGGGCGCCTTCTTCAGAAACGCTGTCACTTGAGATTTTCAACCTAACCTGATGTGGCAGTAACTCTATTCCAACCACAGGACTGGTTCAGCGCTGCACTATTTTCATCATCAGTTTGATCAATGTAGTATTGACTATGTCTTATATTTCTATCGAGGAAGAATTATTGCATGATAATTAAGTGAGCTTACCATCTCAAAAAGAAGGCGAACCAGCTTCTCCGACTCCCCTCGGTACTTGGAGGTGAGAGTTGATGAAGAAACATTGAAGAATGTGGTTCTGCATTCAGTAGCAACAGCTTTGGCCAGAAGTGTTTTCCCCGTGCCTGGAGGTCCCACCATAAGCACGCCCTAAAGTGAGGAATGTCTTCCATGTAATAGCAAACAGAGCATACGAGCAGAGTGGAGCAGTGAGAATTTCCTTTCCTCCGCTCATTATCGCTCAGCGCTCAACTCAGATTACATCCTGCTCCACTCAAATGGCCCCATTCACTCCAAAAAAAAAAGGGGGGGGGGGGGGGGCAGCACATCGCTATGTATTTCACTTTTAGCTTAAACCATGACTTTATTTCCCAAAGAGCTAAAGAACAATGACTGCTTTTTTCCAAATAGAAATGATTTATTCCAAATTACATTTAGGCCTACGTAACAAGGAATATAACAATGGACCTAATTAAATAAAAATAAATAGTACACCTATTGACCTTTCAGTTTCCTTTTTAAAGTACTTTAGGAACTCCACTACTGAGCTTGCAATGGTCAATTTTTGACTTCAAAGTGTTGGATGCAACTGTGTTGCAAAACACAGATCCTTTCTGGGTTGGGCTTGAGCATGCCTCAGACTCATGGTGTGAGCGGTAGCAAAGAGAAATTTGGAGGAAGACACAGAGCAAAGCTACCTTCTTTTAAAAAAGCCACTCTATGCTCTGTCCAAAACCCACCTGCTCGTGCTCCACTTGGTTCACATGCTCTCTGATACACATGAAAAAAGAAATCTAACTAAAATCTCTTCAGCAATTACCTTCCATGGTCTTCGTATGCCTTTAAAAAACGCTGGCATCCACATCGGCAACACCACCGCTTCTTTCAGGAGTTTTTTTGCTTCTTCCAAGTCTGCAATGTTGTCCCTACACAAACAGGTCAGCATTTAAGTTCAAAGGAAGGTTGAAAAATATGTAGTGCATTAAAAACCACACTAGCTATAATTCTCTAAAAAGATATTAAACCAATCTAACATGTTTTTATGGATGTTTGTTTTGTTGCCATACTATTATAATATTACATTTACAATGTTGAATTAGTGGTATGATATTGCTCAGTTCTTTTTTCAGTATAACAATAACATTCAATACTGGCACTGTATTTACTGATCATAACAAACTGCATAATCACAAATGGTAAGACAAATTGGTTGCCCAGATACATCCAAAGTGACAAAATACACCTTACTGCAACTCCAAACCTGTCCAACCTTCTCCAGATCTAGGCATGAAAATGATAATAATCCTCCTAGTTACCACAACAAACTGCCTTTAATTTTTTTTTTTTTTTTATTGTGGTGAGCAACACAATGAACATGAAAAGAATCACTGTCACTTCTAGCCAACAGACAGACTTGTAAAAACGTACCATTTAACATTTGGAGTCTGCGATATAATATCTCTCTCCAGAGCTTCCACAAGGTCTCTGTCATATCCAGTCCCATCAAACTTTTTTAATTCTTTCTCCTGGACATCTGCTTTATTCTGAAAGGCAGAACATGCATATTATTACTATTCCCTGTTCCCTGAATGTTACCCATCTGGTCTGTCCCAGACACACACACAAAAAAAAAAAAAACCTGGAACGACAGGTGAGGCATGGCTGTAGGTACAGAAGCAACATGTGGATACTGAGTATTCAACAACGCCAACACCACCAATATGCAGTTCACCTTATCATCCTTTACTTTGACTGCCACCTCCTTTGCCTCCTTCTTTTCTTTGCTTTTGAGAGGTCTGCCTTTGTCCACACTGGCCCCGCGGGGCGAGTGCCGGTGCTGGGCCTTCACAGCTGCACTCAGGCGGTGGTTGGGAGGTTTGCTGTCTTTATAGGAGTTGGCAGGCCGCCTCACTGGACAAGGAAAATGTCTGTGAAAAGAAACATTGAAGCCACAGCTATTAACGCCAACCGGGAGCCTTTCTAATCATTTGTTTTCATCATTCCAACAAGACAATGATATTATTCATGATATCTGTTAAGCTGTTCTTTTATTCATGCCAGGGCACTTACATCTGACATAATTAAATTTGGTCAGGATTTTGGCTGTCCTGTTGCCACCGGGTACATTTAGCTGGACCAGTGGTTCTTAGTCAAACACTGGAGGTGCATCTCCGGATAGGTTAGGTTGGAAAACTGTATTGCTTGCTATAAGGCCCTGAAGATTTGATGGCATGGCCCAATAGCCCTCTCTGGGGTCAAATGATGGCTCACACATAATTTAACTTCACTGCTGAGCTTCCATAGGAATGCTCACCCATTCTTTGGCACATTTAATTGTGTATTAAAACACTACAAAAAGCCAAATAAATGACTTCTTGGGGTATATCCTGTTTTCATAAAAAATCATATTATGTGGAGGTACTCAATGACATGCAGCATTATATGCAGAAACACTTGTGTATTACAACCAGACTATCAAACAAAGAGGCAGTGTGGGCTTAAAGGCCACCTTTCTAGAGGGTGGAGTAGGAACAAACCAGGCTCACACTGGTGACTGTTTGCTAATCTCAATCATATGACTACATTATGGTTATTGTTCATAGATAAAAAGCCTATTACAAGCCCTGATCACTAACCTGGAAACTGCACAGCATATGTTATGTCTTCTGCTATTTCATGAACTATATCTAGTGTTCAAAGCATAAAAAATGTGCAACAATGAAGAGAAGCTAAAAGTTAAAGCACTAGGTAAATAACAAACTGCAATACCTCTGTTCAATGTGCACAGGGCTTATTTCACAGTCATTGTGGTTACTGGGTTTAGCAGGCATTGTGTCCAGCTGGAAGTTCTCCAGGGTCGACATTATATCCTGAACTTGTTGATTCTCTTCACTAATTTCTTGCCACAACTGAGAAACAGACAAACACAAGAAATGGCCAAATTTTCTCAATGATGTGATCTGACAAATGAATGATACCATTAGTGTTGCACAATATACCGGTACTAGTATGGTACCGCGGTACTGAGGCATTTAAAATGGTACTATACTGCATTTGGATGGGACCAGTACTTGCAGCGCCCGCCCGCAACAGAGGAAAACAGAGCAGGAAACAGCTTCCTCGTCCTCTGCTCACTGAGCAGCGTGGACTGGAGCAACAAATGGAGCATAAGGAAAGCTTGGAGAGAGCAGAGACGTTGGAGAGGGAGAGAGCGAGAGAGAGAGGGAGAGAGAGAGAGTGGAGCACGGAGAGGAGAATGGCTGCTGTAACAGTCACCACCCTGCAACTTGTGGACAAACGAGGGGCGCGAAGTGCTATATGGCAGTACTTCGGCATAAAAACAAATGAACAAGGAGAGGCAATTAACGTTGATGAGCCATTGTGTAAACGATGTTTTAAAACATGCATGGCTAAGGGCGGAAACACCCAGACCTGCACACTGAGTTCAGGGAACGACGGGTAATTTACTCATGACATGTCCTTTTCAAATGCAATAGTTCAATAGTTTTAAGTGTGCAACACATGATAAACAGTTCTTATAAAACATAGAATTTTTTTCTAAATTTTAATTTAAAAAATGTGTTTTTTCAAAACGTTAAATGTGGTTACAACACAGTCCATCAGTGTTTTACATACATATTTAGCCATTTTATATGTTATAAAGACTGGTAACATACCATTTAAAAACATTGGTCCTACTTAAGACAGGCTATATGTAATGAAAATATTTTTTTCTAAGTTAGAACTTCTAACTTCATACTTTTTATTTACTCTTACTTAACTTAAGAAAAGCCTAGTATTTTGAATTTTATTTTGATGTTATTCTAAGATTTTCTATTAAAATAAAGTCAATAATGTCATTTTTGCGTTCTCTTTTTATCTGAAAAACTATCCAAAAGTATCGAAAGTATAAGAAATACATTTTGGTACCGGTACCAAAATGTTGGTATCGTGACAACACTAGATACCATATTTACCTGCTGCCATCTCTGCTGACAACTGCTGTCCCCCATAGTGTACACATACTTTTTGATTTGTTCTAGCAATCCATTATAGAGAACACTGGCAGAGCTGTAGTTTCCCAGCAAGGCGTATTCGCGGGCCAGCTTCACGTTCTCGCTGATTTCTCGTAGACTCATGCTGTTGTAGAAACACAGACAACATGTTAGGGTACCAGGGTAATGCAGATGATATAAATACCCAAGTGGGTGGGTTTTGGTCTATATTGAAAAAAACTTCATGTGAGATATAACCCTTTAAACAAATTGCAGGGGTTCAAGTAATTCAAGTAGTTCAAGTCACTTGGCTGCTAAAGGTTTCTTGGGTAGCTGTGTGTTGATTCAATGTTAGTTCATGCTGAAAAGAGCTCACAGCTCAATGTTGATTTAGAGTTACCATTTAGATTGAGGTGGAGTTGTCTGTCCACATGAGGAGTAAAGAGGTGGCCATAAAAGTGAAGGAGGAGGTAATAAAAACAGCTACATTCTGTCAGAGAGCTATCAAAAGCAGGTGGTTTGCCAACATCACCCACTGGGTACATTCCAATAAACCATGTGCGCATAGGAAAATGGCAAATGACCTGGTAGAGCAAGGAGTATAAGTCTTATGGATGACATGAAAATCACTTGTATGGAGACAAAGAAGTACAGATGCACCAATACAGATACCAGTATCAGGTATTGGATCCAATACCACCCTTTAGTACTTGTACTCGTAAAAACTGTCCAACACTACACCATGATATCACTTAACAACAGCATTACATTAACCGCATGCTAGCTGAGCTGGTCATTAGGCAGTAGAGAAGATATTTCAGTAGTTCCAGGATATTTTAAGGATATTTACAGAGCCTGACAGAACACAAAGAAAATGGAGAAGTCGATTTTGGTGGACCCACACCCTCTTCTTCTTTGCTGCAGCTCATCTCCTCCTTCTCATCAATACAACTAAATCCACGTAGATAAATACATTGCGCATCCAAGTCTGCTGCTCGAAAAACTGGTTAATATCAGCCAACCATCTCCTGGAAAGCTTTTTGGTCACCTAGCAACTGGCACCCAAAAATGTGCATAATTTGCGCGTGTGTGCCCTCCTCCCCTGTGCTGCCACCAACCAGCTTAGAGACATTGCGGCCCAGGGAGAGTTGCTGCTTAACATAGATGGATTTAATCTAGCTACTCTGGAGAGATGGTGAGTCTGTTTTTATTAAAATTTGCATGGTTATTAACAAAGCCATTGTTAAGATAAAATGTTGTTTGCCAAGAGAGAACTCTCATAGGAATTAGAATGAAAGAGAAAGAGAGCTATAGCTCAGAAACATTATTCTCTAAATATTTCTGAATTATTCGTAACTATCAGGCAGAAGCAGCTGCAGATCCTGAAATAAGCTAATTATATGCATTATTAATGTAATTATTGAAATGAAAAAGTATCTAATATTTATTCTAAATTTATTTCAAGCTTTGAACAAAAAACCTATGTAGTGAGCCAGCCTTTTCCAACGCGTAGGAGAAATATTTAATGTGTCAGACTAATAATTAAAGAAAAGAGAATTAATGTATCAGACTAGTATTTATTTTTATTCTAAAATTAATAGATGCATCGACCAAAACTATGTTGGCGTGAAACAGCGACCTTTACCTGTGGTCAGGTGAATTAATCAATGTATCTGAGTAGTAATTAAAGAATGTAATTCATTTACACATGCACACATACATTTGATCACAGAAACCTATGGGCTAAAGGCACTACAGTGTCCAGACCCATAGCATATGGGGCTGATAGTGAAATTAATCTAATCTGTAGTGGTGTAGAAAACAAGAGCTTCACCTAAGTTAAAAAAAGAATTATTCCTTACATCTAACTAAACTACTGGCAAATAAACTAAACCCTGTGGCTTAAGATAGAGGAAAACAATCATCTCTACACCTATTAGCGTAACCATTTGGCCCATCCTCATAAAACCCCTTTGAAGCATCATGCCTAGACGACCTCATGGTATGCAGATGGCCTTCGGTCATATTCTCCAGCGTGGGAAATCCCAATAAAATCTAATAACACTGTTATAAAAGCTATAGTAAAATGTTCCATTGTAGAAAGGTTTCACAGATATGCAAAATCATTTGAAGTATGAAATTAGGGTTTGGCCTTTTGATCTAGGTGGATGTCGGGTGTCAAATGTGGGCAAAGCCCAAACAAAGTTTGATCATCTAATGTTCAGTTTTCTTTTTAGCAAATAATTTAAAATGCCAAGTTCAAGGAATTGCTTTGTCACGTTGGTCATGAGCCTTCATGGACCTGGAGCCATATAGACTTTTCATTTAAACATTTATTTCATTAATCACATTTACATCAATAGTAGATAGGCTGTATTAAATAGAACTTGGCTAATTATCATTAATGATAAAAAAGATCAGTCACCCAATACAGCCCTATAGGTTATGTTCTACTTGTGGATTTATCAAGTTCAGAAGTTAGATTACAAGAAGTTTCAGGTCTGTAGGAGGGAATATGCTACATAATCACCCAGACTGCACCGTTTGTAGAATGACCCATATTTATGCATTTAGGCTGTGGATTAGTGATTGTTATTAACCTTCATGGCCTATTTCCTGAGTAACATATGGTTTTAGTTAAGAACAGTGGCTACAAAATGTATATTTTAGGCAACTTCACACATTCAGTCAGTCCGCTACCACCTGCCACGTTGGTTCTCGCTGTTTTATTACAGTGGCCATGTTTCCAATTTTTACAGATTTTCTGCTTTTATCCCCCATACGCGTCCACGAGTGGGAAATGTGCTGCACATGTCTTCAAAGGGTGTGCTTGAAAATCCAACCAACCCAGTGCTGCTCATGGAGTCCGTTCATTTTAACTACACTACTTCACATGCAGCATCTCGGTGATGTGCCAGTATAGCCAAATGGAACGCAGGTTCTACGTGAGCATCAGTGAATCTGTGATTAACCTCATGGTCTGTTGAAGAAAGCCATGAACGCACATTCATCGGAATTACTTAGACCTGGCTTCACCTAGCTGCACCACCTCAGCCTGGCTTTACCTTCGTGAAACACATTAAGCCAGGATGCATTTAGTAGACTTGGTCAAGCCTTGCTTTGTCTTGTTATCTCAAACTCTTTAATTCTATTTTTGTGCAACAGCCCCCTGGACTATTTCACTTTGTTTAGTTTTCATTCACAATGGCAATTTATATGGTACCTCTTATCTGTCAGGCATGGTTATAAAAAGAAAATCTTTTTCTAAATTGTAAAAATGAGGCTGACCAAACAAAACTACATTTATATTTTAGTTAGAATTTGTTTAAATCTTACTAAATATGCTTAATCATCCATAGAGAATCCACTAAAATTTATTATGCATGACATGTTTTACATCAATTTCCAAACTAATTAGCTAGAAATACTTTTAACACTATGGGGTTTCATTGTTATATCTAATGTTCTTGACTTTTGATGAATGACATTATGTCTTCATTTTCTTTAGAAAACTACTGAACAGAACAACTGGAACAATACTGACCATATGAAGCAAATCACACATAGCCCCATATTCAAAGTGGTAACATTTTGTGAAAACTCGAGGAAGTATTTTTTCACATATTCAGACCAAATACATTTCAGATTAGGAATAACTTAAGACATAACTTTGTTGTTTTCACATCACCTGGCTATATAGACAACATCTGTAATGTTACATAAATATCCTTTCACGTGACCTTGGTACAAGATTTATATAAGCTTATTCAGTTTTAAGTAATTTTCCCACACTCATGCAGCACTTAAAAACAGAGTGACTATAGTTTTTCAATTGAACTTCTTCCGTGGATTAGTCGGAGCCTCAACTAGCTGAATCTCAAAATGTTGTAGGAAAATGTAACACAAAAGTACCTGGAAGGCGTTTGGGTCCCAGATATGAGAAAAACAGCCTCCTTGTTTATGCCAAAACACAATAACTTAGTCGACAGACAAAATAGCTGTCACTAGACGTTAACGCACACCGTCCTACCCAAATTCGTAACTTAGCTAACGTTACTACTGCATCTATCGCTTTGACTTTCAACCTGTGTTAAGTTTCCCCTCTCTGAGACAATATGTAAACCTATAAGCACTATCTTCACAAAACTCGATGAATACAACTGATAGTACGCTACATGTGTTATTATAGATCAAAGCTAGTTTGTTTGGGTATATACTTAACTTTTCAGATGAATCCTTGTTGCGAACGTAGCGATGGGTTCCACTGTGGCAGTTGAGACTTGGAAAGACCGAGCTTCTTCTTCTTCTTCTTCTTTGGTTAGGCAGTTTAAACACAGCTAAGTCGTATTGCTGCCCCCCTCAGTTTGAAAGTCGTCATAGTCATATTATCAGCCGGGGGCATGAGAGACTGATTTCACGGAGGTCCTCGACAATACATCAGTACACGTTCCTATTTGTTTTCAGTGAAAAAAAAAGTTTATTTTCCAAAGGTTTGTCTTCCGCTTATAACCTTCGAAATAAAACCGAGTGACTGTCAAGTGCTAGATAAGAAGGAAATGCACGGAGTGTAGGAGAACGCCTCACCAGGAAAATGGGTGACAAAGCTGTAGTCAGTTCAAACAGTTTCTAGTTTCCAAACCAGTACATCAGTGTCATTAGTTCAGGTTTAGTGGGGGTAGGCTACACTAGGTTTTTATGCCATTCAAGCCTTATGACTTTCAATAATTTTGAAGCAGCTGCCGTAGCCATAATTTTAAGCACGTTGCATGCGTAATCATTTGGCTAATCATCCTCCCCCAATAGCTGCTGGGTGATGAAACCGTTGCAATGGTGTGTTAAAGTCATTATTTCACCAAAGTCCTACCGTAAAACTGCATTTCTACATCATATGACTTAAGAATGTAATATTATCTTTCATTTTGAATTACGTATTAGTCATTATATAGCATCCCCATTTTCACTAAAAAGTAAACATTGTGAATTCAGTATAGTGGGTGACTGTTTCTTCGTGTACTACCAAGGGGGTTTTAGGCATTTAGTCTTGATGCAGGGTGAATGACACATTTTTGATACAACTCTACAACACTTACTTACCCTTACTTTGCAAAGTGTCCTGAGCTATACAAATAAAACTGAATTGAAAATCGAACACTCCATAATATTCTCCCTTTTTCCCCTTTGTTGGGAGGTGGGAGAGCAGAACACTACTATCATGTACTACATGTAAGCTTGATACTAAGTTGTATGATTTACCATTTATTTTTGTTATATGCACTATAGTAATCTTAATTATTGCATAGTGGAGTGGTTGTCACCTTTGTCTTTTGTTTTATATAAACACAAGTTGCCAGAAGATGAAGCTGTATCTCAGACTCTCTGACAGGTGGAGACAATAATGGCTCTAAGTAAACATGCAATGTCAACAGTCATGATGGTTAAAGCTAATTTGAGAGACAGGTTTTGCACCGAGTCCAAATACTCAATACACAGAATAGTGACAGACCTGCCAGTATATAATATGCTTTTATGGTATCATTTCAGAGTGTGATTATGATGAGGCTTCACTTTGTATTACCTTTGTGTTTTTGTTTTTTACATAAACATAACTGTTTCTTGGGAGAGGTGCAGTTTTCATTGTTAAATCATGCAGAATTCTTTTGTTGCTAAAGAACATTTAATTTGAAGAATACTGGCACATTTTCATGTAACATCAGTATCACTCTTTAAATGACTACTAATAAACATTCATTTTACCAGAAAGCTTCCTATAACTTTATGTAAAAATAATCTTGCTTTATGGTGACATACGTACAGTGCTGCCATGCAACCCATTACGAACTAGACAGCACTCAAAGTGTGCAGCATCCATTAAGGGGCACCTCAGTTCCCCATAATGCCATAACAGCAGTATTCCCATGATAGTTTAACCCTCATAATGTGATTGCTCGACCATGAAAACCTACTGCTGGCATTTGGAATGGCGCCGATATCATTGTTAGTTTGGAAGTTATTCAGGAAAAACAATAGACATGACAGATATGCACTTGCTGGTTTAGGGGATAAAAACTTCAGTGAGTGGACTGTGGGCAAAGTGGTGATAACGTTACATGTCTCCAAGTCTGTGTTCTGCTTGTTCAACAGCTGTTAAACTGCTCATAGAGTCTCTGTTACTGACTGTTGCACTATGGAGAGATACTTCACATCTTCTTTTCAGTGGAATATTCAGAGAAAAATACAGTGGAAAAGCAAAATAGGATGGCCTACCTGTAATATTACACCAGGTGACAGTAAGAAGCACAGGATTATTATTGTTGGATATGTGTGAAATTACATGTGTTGACATATCAACTGTTTTACATGCTTGAATGAATAAATCAAATCAAATCAAAAAACTCATTAGGTTCCAACAGTGGAAACACAGCTATAATGTGCAGCTGGAACACTGGCATCCTCACCAACTGCTGTGCTCTGAACCAGATGTAGCTGCCTGCTAATAGAGCTTGGTCAGATAACAAGCATCTCTGAAAATGTTGGAGTAATTCTAAATTGGCATCACATGGATAGACTGACCACATATTGGCAGTCTAAGTGGTTTCTTTGTTATATGAAAATATGACAAAATGAAATAAAATGCATAATACCAGTTCTAGAGATGAAAATATTAAAATCTTTGAGCCTGGCTCAAAATCTCTGCCATCAGGCTCTCGCCAAGCTGTTGCTGCATGGAGTAGATCTCAGTTTCTGGAAGTGAAAAGCCTGAGTTTACCTTATTTCACCTTGAATAAACTTAACCTGCTTTCTGGAGTACCACCCAGACTGTAGCATATCAGCTAGCTTTGGCAACATGAACACTGTGAACAGATTATCTTTACACAGTAGCCTTCATTGAAATAGTAAATGCCATAAATGGCCCATGCAGACTGACAGCAATGTGTACATAGAATTCATCAGAGATACACACAAGTCACACCACACATATTAGCTGCACTTGTCTTCACTCCGGTGCTCACATACAGGGGGCTCATATACAGTCAGCAGGATTACCAGTACTCACAATGGTGAATAATCCTTTAAAATATTCCTGGATCCAAATTATGATATATAGATCAGCATCACAATCTAATCAATAGTTCTGTGGGCTATACCCTACCTGTCCAAAAAAGTCAAAATTTGTTCATTGCTTTTTGAGTTATTCAAGGGCAGACAAGGGCAGATGGTTACCAATCAACTTCCTCAACCAGAGGAATCAGTGTAAGCATTCTGATAATAACATAGAAAAACAAATTTTTAAAGGACGGTTCACTGTACATGCTGTATGTCTTCTCTTCTGCCTTTCTCTGATAAATACCTTCAAGCATTTTTCCATGTCCATATTGTGGAATGTTCTCTGTGGTGATACAGTAGATAGGGCTTCCCATACTTAGTTCACACTGAAACCTTCTCTCATTTGATCACTGCTCTGGTAAAGTAAATCACATAAAATGAAGTCCATCCATCTACAGTGCATCTATCATGTCCTACATTTCCTGCATCTGGATTTGGTCACAGCTAGAGACATCTGCATAAAGTATATCACAAAACCAGGTGGAAAAACATTTCTTTCAGTTACACTGCAAGTATAAATTATCAGTGACTGGACAATATACGTACAGGGTTGACAATTCAGGCTGTGACACACACTCTCATACTGCCTAAACAATAGAAACCATTGCTGCCAATCTTAAATGACAAATGAAGTTAAGGATT